TCTAGCTTTAGCTTCTGCTTGAAAACCCATCTGACGCTGATGGCTTTCTTGCCTTTTGGAAGTTCTGTCAGCTTCCAAGTCTTGTTTCTTTCAATAGCCTCAAGTTCTTCTTTCATGGCATTCAGCCATACTTTCTTCTTGAGCGCTTCTTCAATACCCACTGGTTCAGAATCTACTAGCATGGCACACTGAACGATTTCTCCTTCAGAATCTACTTCAGTATCATGCAACATGCTAAAATCTGCAAACCTACTTGGTATTCGTCTGATTCTCTGTGGCCTCTGATCTCGTTCTGAAGCTTCTCCAGAACTCGAAACTGTGCTGGCTTCTGGACTTTGTCCAGAATTATTTCCTTCAGAATTACCACCTTCAGAGTTACTTCTGGAAACTTGTTCTCCAGACCCCATGTCTTCAGAGTTTTCCCTTCCAGAAGTATAATCACCATCAAATTCTGGATCATCATCAGAATCTGGATCAGAATCAGATCCACTATCAGAATCTCCCTGAGATTCTGACTCATCTTCAGAGTCTTCATCTTCTGACTCTGACTCGTCTTCAGAACTTTCTGAAGGATCTTCAGAAACTAACCCTGGTATTGGTACCACACCAGAATCTGATTGAAGCTTGTTCCAATCCCATGTTTTTGACTCTTTCACAATGACGTCTCTGCTGATCTCAACTTTGTCGGTTTCTGGACAATAAAGCTTATAGGCACCTGTACTGTGGTACCCCACCAGTAACATTGTTTTGCTTCTATCATCCAGTTTTCGTCTTCTAGCCTCTGGAACGTGTTTGTAGCATACAGAACCAAACACCTTCAGATGGTTAACACTTTGCTTGTATCCAGTCCATTTTTCTAAAGGAACAATTTCCTTCAGCTTCTTTGTTGGACACCTATTTCAGAACATATGCTGATGTGGCAACAGCTTCTCCCCATAACATGTGAGGTAACTTCTTCTCTTTCAGCATACTTCTGGTCATATCAAGCAAAGTTCTGTTTCTTCTTTCAGCAAGACCGTTGTGCTGAGGAGTATATGGACCAGTAACCTCATGTTCTATTCCATTCTCCTCACAGAACTTCTGGAACTTTGTAGAGTTATACTCACCTCCACCACCTGTTCTCAGAATCTTCAGCTTCTGACCACTCTGCTTCTCAGCCTTCACCTTGAACTTCTGGAACTCAGTAAACACTTCATGCTTGAATTTGATGAGTGTTACCCATGTCATTCTTGTGAACTCATCCACAAAAGACACAAAATATTTGTTTCCTCCAAGTGAAAGTACTGGAAATGGTCCACACACATCAGAATGTACTACTCCCAGAGCATGCTTTGCTCTGGGGGCTACTTCTGATGCAAATGGCAATCTGGGTTGCTTGCCTTTCATGCATATCTCACATGACTTCTGAGGCTTCACAATCTTCGAAATGCCATGTACGAGCTTCTTAGAACTTAGATGCCCTAAGCTTCTATAGTTCAAGTGTCCCAACCTCTTGTGCCACAGCTTACTGTCAGCTTCAGTGCCTTCTGCACTAAGACACTCCGCTTCAGAAGTTTCTACATTCACCTTGAATGTTCTGTTGCTTCCCTGCTCAGACTTCATAATCAACTTCTGATTAGAATCATACAACGTCAAGAGATTGTCCTTAATAACCACTGAGAAACCTTTCTCAATAAGCTGACCCACACTCATCAGATTGCTTTTAATTCCAGGAACATACCAAATGCATTAAGGTACTTATCATCAGCACATCTGATCTTTGTTCTCCTTCTGGAGTCAAAGTCTATCAGCCATTGTTTGTTCCCAGTCAAGTGGTTTGAACAGCCAGTGTCCATATACCACCAATCTTCTGAACATTTTCCATCAGAATCAGAAGCCATCAGTAGCACAGGTTCATCATCAGAATCTTCTCTGGCTATATTTGCTTCTTCTGATTTCCTTCCTCTGTTTCGACAATCTCTGGCAAAATGGTCAAACTGTTTACAGCAGTAACATTGAACCTTCTTCTTGTCATACCTTTCCTTTCCCTTCTGATATTTCTTTTCATCAGAAGTTGAGGTTTCTGACTTCTGGAATTCATCACCATGTCTATTCTCTGGTCCTTCTTGACAAAAGAAGCTTTCAGAGCTTGCTCCACTTCCCTCTCAGAAGTTCTTTCAGTCAGACGCAACTCTTGCGTTTCTAGACTGCTTTGCAACTCTTTTATTCTCATGATTTCCAGATTTTTAGAATGTTCAATAGAAACAACAATGTAATCAAACTGAGGAGTAAGTGACCTCAGAATCTTTTCTATGATTACCTGTTCAGAAAGTGTTTCTCCACAAGCCTTCATCTCATTAGTGATCAGAATCATTCTGGAGATGTACTCAGAAACTTTCTCATTGTTCTTCATGCTGAGATTTTCATATTGTTTTCGCAGGGACTGAAGCTTTACCTTCTTTACTGATACGTCACCACCATAACATCTGGTCAGTATATCCCATGCCCCTTTCGACGTCGTCGAATCAACAATCTTCTCAAACACATTTTCATCCACACACTGATGGATAAAGAACAGAGCTTTCTGATCCCTCTTCCTCACAGCTCTTTCTTCTGATTTTTGTTCTTCAGTAGCATCTGCTGCAGCTGGAACATAACCTTCAGAAACAAGATCCAGAACATCCTGAGCACCAAACAACACACGCATTTGTATTTTCCATCTGTTCTAGTTTTTGCCATCAAAAACTGGAAGTTTAGTGTTCAAACTACTGCCTCCATTCATCTTAAACCTTGCACAAAAACTCATATCTCAGATTTCTCACTCAGTGTTTCCCAAACCCACATAATCAGTGTGATTCTGTTTCAGATTTTTTGTTCAAGATTCAATAATCAAACACACAGCTCACTATCACTCGTGTTTCCTAGAATTTCAGAATTAACCAAGAAGCTCTAGATACCAATTTGTTAGTGCAAGGTGATGAAATTGAGGAAGAAGAGAGAAAAGGAATAAATGCTAAAAATTGCCACTAATGATTGAAGGAATTGATTGTATTAAAATGTAAACCTAGTACACCTATTTATACACAAAATTGAATAAAGATAAGAATGTCACATAGGGTCTAAATAGAATATCCTATATATGGCAAATACTAAATTACCCTCTAATAATAGATATATTTACAATGGTCCAATAAGAAAATTAGCTCATAATAGAGAAGAAGGTTCTATATGATCCACAAACTTAAGAGTAATTAGATCAAGATCAAGGTACAAGATGGATGAAAGGCCTCAGAAAAAGGGTCATGACGCCTCGGTAACATGCTAAGTTCTACCCTAAGGAAACACCTAATCAGGGTGAGTGAATGAATAAAGACGATCAAATAGCATAACGAATTATATTATGTCTTATGTCTTGCACATTAAGGTTCTAGATCCTAAAAACCATAGAATCCACCTATAAAAACGGGGACAAACGTCAGACAATCATAGACTTGAGTGTTAGAGTATTTGTAAGTACCATCCCCAATGTCAGACCCATCATCAGATACTTATGAGCTACCAAAACATCCCATCTCCAAATGATGTTATAACAAAATAGACAACTACTCAACAAAAGACAGTGGGATCTAAAAACCATTATCAAGTAGCAAATGGAGACTTTCTTTGACTTTAATTATTAGTTTTTCTGACAAAATTTGATTATTAGTAGTTTTTAACTTATGATGTTTAAATTAAAATAAACATATGATTCTTTACCATCTCAATATAAAAGACTTTATATAAAATTATAGGTGTTTATAGAAAAATTAATTCGAGAGTTTCAAATATTAAAATTGCTTAGAAAGACTATTTCAACATATAGGATTTGATAAAGAAGCAAACTAAGATACATTTCAAATATTAATTATATCATCAACAATGATTTCAATTAATTTAAAGGGCGTCATTTGAAACTGTGTTTGCTGTTTAAACTTAACATATATTGGAGCTCTGGAGATGGAGGACATCAAAGAACAACAACAACAACAATGAAGTGTCAAGAGATGGTCGAGAATGTGATACAAAAGTAGAGATGACTGATGGTGAAAGGTGGAATTTGTGTCATACAATGGAGTTTCATGTAGTTTGTTTCACTTAAATCTTTTGACTTCAATAGAAGCTGACACCAGAGCACAAGAAGAAATCCTAGGTTTCAATTTTCATTGAGAAAAAAAAACGGCAAGACTATATCAATTTCCTTGCCATGTACAAACCCCTGCGAAACAATAGCAATTTAAATTAGAGGAAGTGATCTATTGAAACACTTCACAAGAGTCATAAAGAAAAGTGGAAGATTGATAGTGTACATATGTGTTGTAGAAACCGGCAGGAAGAAAAGTTCAGTACTTTGGGATTAAAGAATGTAGAAAACTCCATTTTTTTAACAACGGAAACAAAGGAAAGGGACCTCTTCGCGTTATCTTTTTACTATGTTCTGGTCATTATTACAAACTTTTGTTATTTCCTTTACTCAGTTGAATTAGAAATTAGCATTATACCCCGTCTCATTCATTTCCTCAGTTGAATTACTGACCGCTGCCAGACTAGCTAGAGAGGAGTTCTCTTAAATTTTAATATGAAATGGAGAAAGATAAACTCATAATTATTGTGTAGCAACTAGCAAGCAGCTATAAGGATCCAAAACTACAACACTCCCTCCCCCTTTCATATACAAGGGAACTGGTTCAAAGCCTCAACGGTCACTAATCTACACCATATGATATGGTTAAGACAACCACAAGATACGAATTATATGTTGGAATTTGAAGTTTGAACTCAATCTAACAATCATTGTGAGTTCAAGGTTCCATTTTTTAGACTCTAGTAGTTAGTACTAGCTAGCAAACTATTTTTATGCCGAGATGGTAATTTTTGAGATACATTGATACAAACCTTGAACTTGAAGGTCCGTTCATTAAAGCAAATCCGGAAAGACTTAAAACAATGCCAGACTCCATTTTCAAGAAAATATCTGACAGCAGTTACAGGTTTCTCTGTTGTCTTTGAAGCTTCAATAAAAAAGGAAAGAAAAAAAAGGTTACAACTTTGAAGGATATATTTGAAGCTTCAAAGAAAACAGAGAAACCCGTAACTTTGAAGCTTCAATAAAAAAGGATATATTTTTAACCTCTAAATTCATACCTGAGATTCTAACTCGGCAATTCTTTGCAAGGACACATGTTCAATGCAAGCACGACGCTTACATTCTTCTTCAAGCAGGCCTGTAAGTTGGTATCTCAGCTCTGCCATTTCCTGAACTAAATCTTCTGCTTCTTCTTTCGCCCTCAATCTTTCCACTCTTAATTCTTCCTAGTAAAGGAAGTAAAAAATGTTATATATCTCCCCATGTGAAAAAGATTTACTTGAATCATGAAATTATGTCCAACAAGTCTCGATTTCTTCAGCATTTTTAAATTCACAGAGCACTTCAATGATTAAGTTTTAAATGGATAGTCATACCTTGAGTTTCTCCACAAGAAACTCATATTCTTGGATCTGATAGGACATCTCCATCTCCTCTTTCAATTCTGCAGCTTGATCTAGCTTCATTGCTAAAATACCAAGGAGTGGACCCAATATTTCTCCATAAATTCTGAGGAAATAATACAAAATGCTCACTAGAAAGTTTAGTGAAAGTATACCTCAAATTGTAAAATTGTGGATACAAAGGGAAACAATCCGGCACCACCATTATTTATCACTAAGTAACATCTAGTGAAAAAGACGTATAATCTTTTCCATATATAACTATCCATATAGCCATAATTAAAGCTAGTTTGGATAACGTTTTCCACAAGTACAGACAGGAATGTAAAAGTCAAAATGATTGTGCAATAGCCATGAATACTTTAACTAATGGTTTCTCTCATAAGTTTAAATCGACTTTGCACCTAAATTTTTTTAGAAGCTCTCACACTTAGCTTCTTCATAAACACTTGATAATCTCAAACATTTAAAAACCTTTTTCTCGAGTTAGAAACTAAATGCTTATTTTACTTGAAAAGAGTTCACAAGCTAGAAGCTCAGCCAAACTAGGTAGTTTATTTCTATATGCATGTTGGCTGCAAAATTTTACATTCAAGATATGATTAAAAACTAAAATATCAGCATGAGGAATTTGGAGCTAAATGAAACATAAATCAATTTGCATAAACTAGCAAAGGATTTACTTATTTCCTTATCTGTCTGAATCTATCCCATCTATTTTGGGATCAATGATCATACATATTCAAAATACCAAAAGTTGCAATAAAGTCAATTAACACTTACAATAGCCAACCCCACTTGATGGGATAAGGCTTGGTTGTTGTTGTAACACTTACAATACCAGACATTGAGTTATTCATTATGAGCATATAATGTATGAATTATGACTTCGTGAAGTAGCCCTCTATTTGCTTGCTTATTCAAGTAAAAATGGAAATTTATCATGGTAAAGAGTAGGAAAAGTAGACTGAGAAACCCAATTTCCGATTTTGTTTTAAAAAAACCAAATACATTAAAAACACTTGCATCTGAGTACAAGGTGTACCCGAAAGGAGGAAAAAACATATTACAAAGGACATGCCGCAACATAAACCAAAACAGCAACAGGGCCAAAAAAACAAAGGGAAAGAACAATAGCTAACAAAAGCTCCTAACAAAGGGAAAAGACTCAATTTCTGTTTTTTCATTTGAAGTAGCAGAAGTGGCAATTCCGCTCTCTTAATCTATCAAATAGAAGGTCAAGCCAATTTAAATGCAAGAGTAAATACAAGATCACAATAAAACCCAATTAAAACTACTTAACTGCGCAAATTTTACACACAATTCATCATACATTTTGCAAAACTTCAAAATATGTACCTTGTGTCTTCTGCTTTGCTTTTTGACCGATCCTTGATTTGCAGTCTGTCCTTGTTTTCCAGCCAGTTTTCAACCTTTTGAGAAAATAATCTAGTATTCATGTTGGCAGCATCAAGCTTCTCTTTAATTTCCTTATTTTCTTCATTCAAATAGATGATAGTTTTTTCTGCATCCTGCACTGCACTCTGTAACTCATCAATCAATCTACTCATTCTATTATTTTCTTCTAGAGTTTCATCCTGAATTTTCTTGGTCTCGAATAAATCCTGTTCCAAGGCCATCATATCAAGCTTCATAGTTTCAACTTCAAACTGTGACTCTAATCCAATGGATGAAAATGATTCATCCAATTTCTCGACGGACAATGCTGATAGCTCTAACTCCACTTCCTTAGTCTCTAGTTCCCGAATCAAAGAAAACTGCTTTGAATTGGAGATTTTCAGTTCCTCCCTCAAGCTGAAAACTTCTTTTCGTAAATCTTCTATCTCCTTGAATTTCAAATCAAGATTGCAAGCACGCTCTTTTAGATAGTTCACTTCCGTGTTTCTTGCACTGAGTTGATCCCGAAGATAATCTGTATAAAATAAAAATTAAATCATGTCAATTAAAGAGCACAAAAACCTCAAAATTAAATATGGGAATCAGAAAGTTATTACGAAGAAGTATTCAGGGAAAAATGACATCCATGAAGAAAAGAAAAAATTACTCTCCAAAGCCAATCATCTGTCAAAACTGATTTATGAATGAAAGTCCGTCAATGCAATAAACTCATCCACACAGCTGGTTTACTCATGAAAGTTCATCAATGCAACAAACTTATCTACACAGCTAGTTTACGAATGAAAGTTCATCAATGCAATAAACTTATCCACGCAGCTGCATGTACGCCATGAAAAATGGAGAAATAAAAAAGTACCTATTTCTTGAGAACAATTCAGCAGCTCTTTTTCCAAACTCTGGATGTATTTCTTATCTTCCATATGAGCTATTGGAAACGACTTTTTGTGCCGTTCTAGTATCTGCATCAATTCATGAATCAGATTTGTGGTAGTTCGGTATCTGTTGATACGTAACATAGAAAAGAAGAAAACTCAAATTTTAAAAGTTGGTTGTAAAAGAAAGTAATAAATTGAAAATGCAATCAAAGAGATTTCATAGTTGGATTAGGTTAAATAAAAAGGTACCTCTGTGAATCTTGTTCCGAGTTAAAGAAGCTCCTCTGCAATTAACGGAATACCAGTATCATTTGCACAGAAATTTCTCTAAAACATGGGAATTTGTGGGAAGACACTGTCTAGTGAAATGGAAAAACCAAACCAAACTTTTCCCCTTAATTTTAGATTTTTTACCACCATACTATATTTTGAAAATGTTTCTCTTTGATTTTACTTATCACATTGTTATTTTTTTTTTTTAGATTAAATTATAAATAAAAATAATATAAAATTTGGGATTACACCTAACAAAAATAAATAAAAGATAAGATCAAAAATTAAAAATAAATAAATAAATAAATAGAGAATTCAATAAATTACATAAGATTATTGTTTTTTATATTGTTATGTAATAAAAATTCCTTACACATATTTTTTTTATTCACTATAATAAATAATATATTTTATATTTTATTACAAATTTCCCCTTCAGCTAATTAAAGGTATAATTTTTATACATTATTTAATTGATTACGAATAACAAATGATAGAACAAATTGTTAAAGAATTATTACACTTCGAATCACAGCTCGTGCTTATTTATTTATTTTTTGTTTATTTTATCAAAATAATGTATTCTCTTTATTGTAAGAAACAATCGAAATGAAATAAAATGTAATTGATAGACCAAGTTTCAAATCTCACTTTTTACATTTTTATTTTTATTCTTTTTAATAGGTGTCTTTTTTATTTATTTTTATTTTTAATTTATCTATTCTATTGATTGGAGTTCATACAGAGAGAAAATTTCAGCTTTGTATTTCATATAGTATTTTTCTCTTTTTTATTTCTTTATCTATTTCCTCGGTTGAATGGTCTAACCGAGAGACAATCTTATATTTGTATTTTATATGATGATTTTTTCTTTTTTTTTTTAATTTATCTTTTTCTTGGTTGGATATAGGGATAGTAATGGGTAGGGTTTGGGCAGAGTATTATAGTACTCGTTTTCATACCCGCAGTTTGAAAAAATCCCCGTCCCCAAGCCCATACACGTATGAACACCAATGCTTGTACTTGTATCCTATGAGTACCTTAGTACCCATACCATTCTCGTTTACCCGCATTTCTAATAAAAAAATAATCAACACATTATAAGTTATCATGTTATTTTAAATTCTTTCAACAACAATAAAAAAAATTCAAGATATTATTATTGAGTTAAGAAACAAACAAACATTTATATTAAAAAATATAAATAAGTAGAATTTTAATAGTGATATATTTAATAAAATTGACAAATTAACATGTAAACATAATAATAAAAATAAAAATATATAAATATATAGTATGCGGGTATGAGGCGGTTGGGTACTAAGGTACTCATACTCGCGTTTGTACCCATTTATTTTAGTGGGTAATTACCCGAGCTCGTATCCCTACCCATTTTTGCGGGTTTTTATCCTATTCGTTGTGGGTATTTTTGAGGGTACTCACTGGGGATGGATAAAATTGGCATCCCTACTTAGATGTCCTAATAAGAATGATATCTCTTTTGCATGTATTTTCCATAAACTAGACTTTAGCTAGCTTTCATTTATTTTTCAACTCTCATTTTCATCTTCATTCTTCTAAAAAATCGAACACTCTCTAAACAAAATATACCCTAGACGATTTTCATCTTCATCATCTCCATTGAAACACCCTAAACTTATTTCTAAACTTATATTTCGTCATTGTTTTCAAAACATCATCCCTTCCAACACATGTACGTGATTGAAACACCATCTCTTCCAAAACACATATGTGTTTGAGACTTCATTTCCTCCATTCGAATGTTATTAACGCCATTGAAGCACCAACGAAGCTTGAATCAAAGGAAAGACAACCAAACTCAATCGAAGCTTCCTCCAACATTATCGTATCTTCTTCATCATATTTTCAGTATGTAACTCACTTTATCCATGTACTCAACTTAAAAATGTTAGTTTTGGTTGTTATGGATTGCTTATTGCATATAAATTATATTGAGGGAAGTTAGTTTTTGTTGTTTTTCTATTCTAATTATGTTGATAAAACAGGAAATAGGTTTTTCCTTTTTAGTGTTGATGTTGACAAAAGTCCATATGTACCATGAGTCACATTAGGTTTCTTTATTGATGTTGTTTTAAGTAAAATGTTTATGAGGTTATTCTTGTGAGATGCTCTTAGAAAATGTTGATGTTGTGTGTGATACGGTGGCATAACCGACTGTTAGTACTGGTTTGCGTTTTTTGTTCGCAAAATGTCGCGGTAAGCAAGAGTCACCACCGACTTTTAATTTATCTAATCAGAAAAAGGAAAAAGAACAGAAAAAAACCTTTTTCGAGATGTTTCTGAGTACGGGCGGTAGATTATAGAAAGGGAAGGTGTTAGCACCCTTTCTATCCATGGTTTTCCATGGGCTCTTAGGTACTTGCTCATCTTTTTAAAATTTCTTGTGTGTGCTTGTTTTGAAAAGTTTTACTTCGTGATAACCCTTGTATCAGTCCTCAAGGGTGTGACGAAGTTTATTTTGAAAGGTGTTTGTGTGAAAAGTTTTGTTGAGCAAGTACTTAAGATTCTACCTACTCGAAAAAATGCGTTCTTTTCCTCCTATCCTTTAGACCGTGTTATCCTACTATTAGTGAGTAGGTAACCCTAGTCGTTGGATGTTTGAGGGACTATCGAAATGGACATAATGGTCATTGAAGACAACATGTAAGGATATCTTAGCATTTCGAATGGAATGTCATCATATATTCGTAGGCAACATCGAGGGACAAGATCATTTCTCGTAGGCAACTCGAGGGACGTTAAGGGGCTATGATCTTTATGATGACTTTTAGATTGAGGGTCTTTTGCTAAGATATCCCTACGTTCAAGGGACACGACCATTATTTCCGAGGCAACCGAGTGAGGCAAACCCTAGGAGTGAGCATGTGCGAGTGTAATTTTCAGTTAATTTATCTTTGCATATTTAGGGTTTTCTACTGTATTAATTTTCAGTTTGTCTTTCCATACAATCCTATTAACATACATCTAAGCAGTTTATAGTTTGCGGAATTAAAAGCAAGAAAGTTTAAAGTCCTAGCTATTACAAGGCTTTTGCAGATACATAATTATTTTGGACTGAAAATAAAAATGCGGAATTTAAACCGTAATTACTATTACAACCTCGAAACAGTTACAATAATAATAAAAGAAAATTAAAAAATGCGCGCGGCGAATTAAATGCGAGAATAATTTAGGAAACCTAAAAAATCTAATTGAAAAAAGATTTAGGTTAGTTTTTTTTTTAGAAAAATTAATTAGGTTATGTACAAATTAAAATCCTAATTTCTAATTAATTTAAATTATAAAAAAGGAATTAAATTTGCCCTAAATTAAATTAAACTAATTAATTAAAGAAATAAAATATTTTTATGAAAAAAATGATTTTTATGTTTTTTTTAATGATTTTTTGATTAAATAAAAAATAATGATTTTTTGGTGTTATTTTAATAAAGGAAAATAATTAGTAAAACAATTAAAAAAAATTAAAATAGAAAAGAAAAGAATGGGCATGTGTTGTGCGAGCCTGAGAGTGCACTATAATCCTTCATTGTTTGAGGCGTTGGATCTGAATTATTGATACATCCAATGGCCAAATAGTGGTAGCGCATGGTAGGCGTTTTGGATGATGATGCATTGAATCTGTAGAAACAAAGTAAGAAAACAAAATTTGCTGAGATGGTTAGTTGTATATATAATAACACAAATAAAATATAAAGGAAATAAAGTGGTCTTTCCCAAACGCGTGCGTGATTCAAATCACCCAATAGGATTCTACCACCTAATTATCTTCTTCCCCATAACTGTTGTTTTTTGCCACACTTTTACCTACAGTCGTTTCCGTCACTAAAGGCTATAGTGACGAATTTTGTTTGTAGCCATAAACCTGTAAAATTAAAAAAAACGCAACACAAGCAGAATAAATTCAAACCAAAGACATGGATCAATTGCAAATCATCTTCTAAGCATGATAGTACCCCTGATTTTGTCCAATTTTGCCTCTATATGGAATTCCCAATTTGGGACCTCAAAACCCTAACAATGGCATCGTGCCATTCCTGCACTTAAACTTCAATCAAACCAATCAAAAACATTGCAAATATGATAGCAAGCATGGATATATGATCAAAACATGTTTATGATGGATAAATTATTGAAAACGAATCTTGAAAAAAGATGCAAACCGTGGCACTGTGAGGCGTGATTTATGAAGGTTTTAAGGCTTGAGGGTGATTGGAATGGCTTCAAAACACGTCCAGGAACAGATTGTTGGTTTTGGAATTACTTGAAATGGCCTATGGAAGAGAATACAGTCTGCACTTTTTCTTCCAAAATTTGCAATTTCTTCCCCTTGTTTTCACGACCCCAAACCCTCTTTTATGCTTTAGAGATGTTAGGTATATATGATAAAATGATTTAGGTCAACAAAAACTGATCATATCTTTGCAAATTATGGAGATTTGATTTCATTCTTTTCCTTGTATGATTTGTTTCTAAAATAGACCAAATTAAGATCTTTTCCAATCAATTAGCTCTTGCACGAATTTTTTGATTTGCTAGCTGTTCATGGACTCATAATATGCTCATAAAATCAAATCTTTGATTTTATTTGATTATTCTACTATTTAAATTGATTTATTTTGATTTAAATGGATAAAAAATCAAATTAAATAATAAAAATAATAAAATAATAGGTGGATAAGCTCAGGGGTCGTGGGCCATCTTAGGAACAAGTTTCAAACAAGAAAACATGG